TAAGCTGAGAATGTGACTTGCTTCCTTGTGTTTGGAATTTGAATTGCTTGTATTTGGAATTTGAGTTGCTTGTATTTGGCATTTGAAGCCTAAATCCTTGATCTTTGTTTATGCTTCAGGTTGCACGGAGTGTGCAAAGAGAATCCATTGGCACCATTGATTGGGAGATTGGGGTTACCCTTATACCGCACGAGTGGGGATAACTCTGTCTTATATGACCATGACTTGGAGAGGTGCATAATATCTCCTTTCAACTAATAGTTCCCTTGTTGTAGGAAATGCTGTGAATTTTAAATGTCATTTAAGTTTTGGTTGTCGATATGCATTGTTATGGTTTTAGTGTGGCTTGGTTTTTGTTGGTTGTTTAGAATTGAATGGTTCGTACTCGTATAAGTTGTTTTATTTTTCCAACCTTCTAGTACAGTGCCAAGATTTGCTTTTAACAGTTTAAAGCACAACAGTCTACAATGTAATATGTATTATTTATGGTCAATCCATTCAAGAATATGCTTTGATACAAATGATTTTAACACATTGCTTCATCTTTCTGTGAAGTTGGCTTTTTGTCCGAGCCTTTATATTGTAGGGTGATATCTGACATTGGTAGTAAATTCATGTTGTCTTTGCAGCTATGCACTTTTTGATATGGATGGGAAGCAAGTTCCTCAAGATTTGGTCACCAAAGTTGGTGAAGTGTTTGAGAACCTTTTGAAAGAGGCAAGTCATCTTATGTTTATTTATTTGTTTTAAGGCTATAGCCTTGTGAGACGAAAGGTATCGCTTCTGTCTTAGCCCTCAAATAGTGGCTTGCCATTGTGGACATTCTTTCACTTCATTTTTTGTTTTTGTAGTGCAGACAGATAAGGTAAGAGAGGAATTTAGTGAAGACATGTCCATCACTCGTGCCTTTTCAATTGTTTTTGAAAGGAACCCGGAATTAAGGTACCATAATTCCAAGCCACATTTATTTTTATTTTTTTTTCAGCTTTTGACACTCTGTTGGTGTATAAATAGTTTACCAAAATTACTTTCATATGTGTCGTACAGGTTGGAAGGAGTTGCACATAAGGTTCTGCAGTGGTACTTGTGCAGAATGGAAGGTTGGTTTGCAGCAGATGCTGATACAATTTCACTTAAATGCTGGGATCAGGCAAGCTTATCATCCCTGAGATTGGCTTTCATTACACATTGCACTGTTTGAATTTTCAGTTCAACTATAGACATTGATATCTTTGTGCTCAAGTATGGCCTGTAACAACTTAATAACCTCGAATGGCCATTAATTAGCAATTTTGTTTCTCTCTTGTATAGGAAGAACTGCTCCCTGGTGGTCATGGCCTTATGGTCAGGGGCTACCTCCCTGTTATAAACACACTTGCCAAAGGTCTTGACATCCGTTTGGGCCACAGGTATGCGTCAGTTTTCTTTTTCATATTCTCCTATATATGTTCTGCAATCTGCTTGTAGCTTAATCAACAAGCATATAACTTTTCTCCTATTCTCAGGGTCACAAATATAGCAAGGCAATATAATGGGGTTCATGTAACAATAGAAGATGGGAGTACATTTGTTGCAGATGCTGCTGTTGTAGCTGTTCCTCTTGGTGTGCTTAAGGCAAAGAGCATATCGTTTGAGCCAAAGCTACCCAACTGGAAGGAAGAAGCCATTGATGACCTCGGAGTGGGCATTGAGAATAAAATAGTGTTGCACTTCGAAAAGGTGTTTTGGCCAAATGTGGAGTTTTTGGGAGTGGTTGCTGAAACATCTTATTGCTGCAGCTACTTTCTAAATCTTCACAAGGCAACTGGTCATTCTGTACTTGTTTATATGCCTGCAGGGCAGCTGGCTAAAGACATAGAGAAAATGTCTGATGAAGAGGCTGCTAACTTTGCTTTTATGCAACTCAAGAAGATCCTTCCAGATGCTTCTTCCCCGGTACTCCTTGTTTCTAACTTCTACTAGACTTTATGTGAAATTTGATGAGTCTTATTTATTTTTGAGCTATAACTTAACTTAATTGATGCCTTTCCAATTATGCAGATTCAGTATCTTGTTTCTCGTTGGGGCAGTGATGTTAACACGCTTGGGTCCTATAGCTATGACATGGTTGGAAAACCCCATGATTTGTACGAGAAGCTGAGGGTCCCAGTGGATAACCTATTTTTTGCTGGGGAGGCAACAAGCGCGGACTTCCCAGGCTCTGTGCATGGTGCATTCTCTACTGGAGTGATGGCTGCTGAAGACTGCAGGATGCGTGTTCTGGAGCGATATGGGGAGTTGGATTTATTCGAGCCGGTCATGGGCGAGGAGGCCATGTCCATCCCGCTTTTGATCTCCCGCTTATAACTTTCAGGCCACACCATCCTTCAGATATATGAATGCGAGTATTGAAGATATGTTCAGGTTGGATTGGGCGACAAACAATATTGCCATTTTGATTCGGCTGTCTGGGAAAGGTCGTGGAAAATCACCGTTTTCCCTTGAATGAGGCAGCCAAGCTCTGGTGTATCTGTTTGTAGTCCTCATCCGTTTGGGCTTATCTGTATTTGCGCAATCATTGGACAATCACTAAATGATATGAATCTAGTCTAATAAATAGCTAGTGGAATATTACAATAAATTGTGATATTAGAGGTCAATATATCTAGTATTGAATTGGTGGGAGGACGTTACAATTTGCCGTGTTCAAATGAATGAGGGTTTTCTCTCTCTTCTGCTCTTATCTTATGCATGCTTGTCTGTCCGTTACCCAGAATTAGAAATGTAACTTTCAACTGATTTATTGTCAGCGTTGGTGGATTCTCTCATTGGATCCATTAAAAACTTTTAAGGCTCTGTTTAAAGAATAATACTAGTCTTATTATTATTATTTTTCACATGATGTGACAACTGATGTGTACATACCATATCATGTAAAATACTAGTTTTTGTTTTTCTAATTTTATTATTAAAATATACTTCATTTATTTAATTGATGTGACATATAATATGGACATGCCACATCATGTGGTATATAAATATGGGATAAAGACATTTTTCTTCCTTAACATTTTTCAGCCATGAACAATAGCCCATAACCCTTAACATGATATAGACATTTTTCTTCCTTTCGAATCCTTTAATTTTCAATGAAACAGTTAGATAAAATCATTCTTTATAAAGCAAAAAGGAAAGAAAAGATGGTTTGCTAGAAATCAAATAAGAATCAACTAAAAGAATGGAGAACGGAGAATGGTTGGAAGGACAAGAAGGGAGGAGGCTGCCGCGGTGAGAAAGAGAAGAAAGAGATGGAGTGGAGAATAAAACGTAAGATCTAATTAATTTTTATTTACTAGGGTTTTTAATTGAAAGATTAAAAAACGTAAAATGAAATTAAATGAGGTGGCATGTCCAAGTAAGATGCCACATCATGTGGTATGAAAATGTGGTATACAAAATGTGGTAAGAGTCGCATTACTCATTACAATTTGTGTATGCAAATATTTTTTATTTTTATTTTTGTTGATACAAACAATACTCTACTTTAATTTAATCTAAACTACGGGAAGAGATATTTGAATTCGGATGCAGAGTAGTGAGTAAATCCGCTATAGCCAACTTAACTAAGCTCATGTATGCATATATGCCAAGATTTGGACAAGAAAGATAGGAAACAAATAAATTTCAAATGAGTCCTAACATGTAGTTATTTCAAATACATTCATATTGTTCTTGTTTTCATAGCAAATTTGGCCTTGTTGCCAAATTTTCTTTCAAATTCCAAATGGGTATTTAAATAACTAGATGTTATATATTTGGAATGAATTTGAAATGACTATCCAATGAGTCATTTGGAATCCATTTGTTTTCTTAATTTCCTTATTCAAATCTCGACATCCAAATGAAGACTTGATATTCTGAGCTACTTTTCAAAATTTAATGTATCATTAATTGATTCGTATTAATATTGAGAAAACTGGACGCATGATAATAATCATGTGATATTAGAGCATCTACAATCATGCTCTATATTTTTTTGTTAAAGTTTAGCTGAAAATACACGAGTTATTTTAGGAACTCTATAAAATTTGAACTTCAATCATATTCCCTAGTTTAAGGAGTCTCAAATACTATAATTATTTTTTAATTCAATATAATTAGTCCATCTCTATACAAAATAGGAAGTATGGTAGGAGTTGTACTTTTAGGAACTCTATAAAATACACGAGTTGTACTTTTTTGTTAAAGTTTAGCTGAAAATACACGAGTTATTTTAGGAACTCTATAAAATTTGAACTTCAATCATATTCCCTAGTTTAAGGAGTCTCAAATACTATAATTATTTTTTAATTCAATATAATTAGTCCATCTCTATACAAAATAGGAAGTATGGTAGGAGTTGTACTTTTAGGAACTCTATAAAATTTGAACTTCAATCATATTCCCTAGTTTAAGGAGTCTCAAATACTATAATTATTTTTTAATTCAATATAATTAGTCCATCTCTATACAAAATAGGAAGTATGGTAGGAGTTGTACTTTTCCAATTCCTCCATAAAATTTGTCTAAAAAGGTGGTTTGGAGAGCCCATTGTAAATGCTCTTACACTTGAGAGAGAAAATGAGAGAATGGAAAGATATACAACTCTAGAAAATGGATCTTTGATTTTCATTTAGATATAGTTGCTCAGTCAAATCACATAAATTTACACAGCTGAGCAAAAGTTGACATATTTAAGCAAATGAATTGCTAAAACCTTGCCCTCCTAAAAAAGAATAAAAGAAGATTAATCTCCGAATATTACAAGTTCTCTGCGTTGCACTCAAAATTTGAATTAGCTTCTATTTCCGTCGCTTTCTTATGTTCTCAAAACATGCTCAAAACATAATTTTCTTTCAACTGATTCTCGTACCTTCCTTCCGATAGATGAATGAGACCTACAAATTTGAATATAAATATCCAACAAAGAAGTTCAGAAGGCTCCAATTTCCACAGCACTATTTTTAGATTGGTTGCCTTGCTTAAAATAAATGATATTTAGAACCAAAAATTACAAAAACGTATACCCTTTAATAGAGGGAGACATCAGAGAATGGAGCTGAAGCTTTCAATAGGATCAGATTCTTCCAGCATGGAAGCTGCCTGGAAGCAGTCGATGGCGTCTGCTATTCGACCATCATCTCTGTGAATCATCCCCAAGTAATACCAAGCCTTTCGATTGTTAGGATCGATCCTTAATGCATCCGAGAGTAAGCTTCTTGCCACAGGCAATGCCACTGAGCCCATCTTTGACAGAAGAGCAGCAATCAAAATCTTGCACGGAACATAATAGGGTTCTAGCAGAAGAGCATCAATATAAGCTGCTAGAGCTTCTTCAATTTGTCCACGTCCTTCTAAGATAACACCTAATATAATTGCACAGCAAGTAACTTAACAGTAAACATACTGCACATCAAAATATCAAATTGCACTGCTATATAAGTAAAAGGCTTTTATGCCATGATAGGCTCCCTAGTGTTAGAAGAGCTTGAAAGTGCTGTTAGGTCATATAGGCCCTTGTTTAAAACTAGCCCTTGAAAATTTGAAAGACATTTTGTCTAAAGTGAGCGTTTTCCACAGGTCCACTGCTTGCATTGTCATGTATATCACTTATCAAGAAGTACAACATAAATGCCTCAAATTCATTACTGTAGTAGATGAATTTAGTACTTGCCTTCCGTGTGCAGCGTTTCTGCAGAGTGCAGCTTCAGTTCGCTGGCTTTACTCAAACATATTTCTGCATCCTTCCAATGTGATAGGCTAGAGTATAAGTCTGCCAAACCATGCCAAACTTCGAATTCATCGACTTTATCATCTTCAACCTATCAAAAAGAAAAGACCAACATTAACTTAAAGGGAACAACTTGTTAATCAGGAGTTCCTACTAGCATATATTTTCATGTTGAGCAAGAATCTTTAACAAATAATTTCCGAGAAAGCAACTTAACCCAGCATTCACTTACAAACCTCAAGATCTAAAAATTCAACTCCATAACACAATCAGATACTTCAAATTTCTAAAATCTAAACTACTATCACATTAAGTTAAACCATTGTAGAAAGAAATGATTAATGGGCTAAACTTCCTCCCAGGACATTGCAGACTCACAACAATACCACTTTCCCACCACTACCAATAATAGCTTAGGGCTACATTTGGCAGAAATTTGAATAGTGAAGAATGTAAAGAAGAAGTCAGAGTTTTAACCTGATTACTAATTCTGAGAGGCCCAAAAGATTTTCTTTGGGCTTGAACCAATGCAAGAAGGTAACGATAAGTTTCAATTGCATCCATGGGTAATGATTGAGAGATTTTCAGCTTTGCTTTAAGCCTGAGCAATGGCCCTTGTTCCCATTTTGCTGTCTCATCCAAAGCAGCATCAGTGACCACGTGAGCCTCTGAATATCGCTGTTGAGCAGACAAAACAAGAGCAAGCAATCTCCAACCTTTTATTATGGAGCCCCCTGTTCGATCAATGAACTGTTTTGCATACCGCAAAGCAGCATTTAGATTCCGATGCTCTGCATATTGAACACCCAACTCAAAAATCAAATCTAAGTTATTCTGCTCCAAAGCAATGGCTTCATTTAGCGATTTCAGTGCTTCAGACTGAAGCCGGAACCTCTCAAAGTCAGAGGAAGAAACTTTTGCTTGTTTCCCCAAACAAAGACCCAACAAGCGAAGACCCACACCCTTTAAATGTTCATCCATCCCCTGAGCACTACTAATAGCCCTTTGTGCATATCCCACTCCCTCAGCTGCAACATGGGAATCCTCACTGCAGGTTTTGGCAGCTAATAACAATGCTGTGAGTTCATCTGGTCGTTCATGTTTGTGTAAAGACTTCCTTAATAGATTCAAAGCCTCGTTGTTGTGTCCTGCTCCACTATAACAAAGAGCTAATGAATTCCAACGATCAACACGGTGATATACTCCAGGCATGATCTCTTCCAGCTGCTTTGCTAAAACTGAAGTTTGGTTGCATAAGGATAATGCAAATGTTAGATGTTCCATAAGCGATGGGTCACATTTGGTTTTACCTAGGGATAACTTTCTCAAAAGGATCATCAAAAGCAGAATTGCTTCCTCCAGATTATTTTTGGGCACATATGAACCTTCAACCTGAACACCTAAACTGGGTGGACCAGCCTCTACTCCACTATACAACAAAAACACAGCAAATCCTTTCTGAATTCTTGCACAGCAGTCGTTGTCAAGGTTCCATTGACTAAGTAGGGCACGCCTGTAAGCAGATATTGCTTCATGATAGTAACCAGCTTGCTTCCAAAGCTCAGGAAGAAGCTCTACAGCTTGGCTGACTGTCTCTTGCAATCTACCATCCACTTGCGCATCATGTATGCCCTGATGGAAAATTTTTTCCACAGCATCAAGCACATTTTTGCATTCACTAGCAGCCTCTGCAGACACATAAAACAAGGTTCCATTTGTACTCTAATTCAAACTTGAAAAGTTAAAAAGAAAGGAAAACCATCATATCAATTGCTGGAACAGTACCCTACCAGTTAATCTCCCAAGCTTTTGAAGAGACTTGGATTTTAAGTATATTGCATCAAGAACGAGACTAGCAGCATGCTGTGAGACTGTATGCTGTGAGTCAGAACGAGATCGGCCCTTCCTAGAAGGTGTTTTCTCAGCAAGAGAAGGTTGCAATCGCTCTATGGCAGCTTGAAGATCGATGCCATCAAACACACGAAGTGCACCTTCTAGGTTACCTCTTTGGTACTCCAGCTTTCCAAGAAGGGCTCTTGCTTCCTGTAGATTATCATAAATCAATGTTTTTTTTTCTTGGATAAGTGATAACCAATCATCAAGCACTACTCTAACTTGTGCATATAGCCGTACAGACACAGATATAATTATGGAAAAGATGGTAAATTCCAGAATAAACCAAGATTTTAAATGACTAATACTAAATGATGAAATTATAAATGAATATCCTGGAATTATTTTTATTATAATCTGAATCAGATTCCAAATTTCTGATGGACTGGGAAACAATAGGGCCGACACCTCAAGTATACTATAACCCCTGTTCTTAAAGGGGAGGAGGTACTGTTAGGTCCATAGGTCATACAAAATTGTTACACAAAAATAAACAGATGATAAGCATAGAATAACCTCAAAATTGAGTGATAATCCTTCTCGTAATGAAGATTCTGCCTCCTGAATATTTCCTTCATCAAGCTTGGCCTGAACATCTGTTGCTTTCATGGAATTCCCATTTGCAGAGAATTCAATCACCATGCCTTCTTCATACTCGCCAGATTCCATGGCGTGGCTTCCTACTCTTCCTCACCTTATTCCACAAGTTTCACTTTTGTCCCAGTCTTTTATCCATTCAACACTTAGCTGACAAATAAATAAAATGCTGCAGTTCTTAGAAATTGAACATACTTTAAGTATAAAAACTAACCATTTGTGTAACAAAATTCAGCAACACATTTCATCTCAATTATGCTCAAATATATGACTAAAACCTATTCCCTTTCCGAAAATTTCTCAGCAACCAAACAGATGGTTTAGTATAACATTAATGATATCTAGGTAATCTACACATTTATGTAACAGAATCCCAGGGGCAAACTACCAATCTTTAGATCCAATGTAATCCAATTAAACTGAAAAAGAAAATTTGAAGTTATAGGTATTGCTGGGTTGCTAAGAAAATGTAAGAATTGGGAAGAAAAGTAATTACAAATTTACAGAGCTTTCACAATGCGGGGTCCAAATAGCAACATTTTCAGTCAATATTCATTGAGGTGACACAAAATTTTCGAAAGAGCGGAAGAACACCAGTTACAAACGCAGCACTCATAATTTCGTTTCAACTCGTTTTCATTACATTGTCTTCCATTTTCTTTCGTTTTTTTCTTTAAATCTTCCCATCAAGCAAACAGCTTTGAAATGCCTAGTGCGTTGTGATTGTTACCTTGCCGGTTGCATCAGATTCAGATCACGGTTGGATGAAAATGACGGAAGCTTGAATTTGCGCGGTGGAATGCGACCGGTGGGGAATCAGCTACAACGACATGTTTGATGTGTGAGAAAATTCAGGGCTTTGTGAGGTTGAGAGACCTGAGAGAGAGAGAGAGAGAGAGAGAGAGAGAGAGAGAGCGATGTGTGATCTGAATGTTAAACTATTCATTTAATGGTTTTTTGGAGCTACAACCATATAATAACGTTCTTCTTCTTCTCCTTCTCCTCCTTCCTCTTTATAATATTTCATTTTGGGGGTAAATCTGAAGTTTAAAATGGATTGTCAGCGGAAAAAAGGAAAAAATTATTAAAATGGGTAATTCCCTAAACTTTTAATTTTATTTTAAATTAAAAAGTATTATTAATTACATTCATCCAATACTGATAACCAACTCACGGACTTAATGAAATAAAAAATATGTATTTAAATGAATAAATAAAATACTAAATAACAATTCAACATAAATTAATAAATGGTATTGGAATATGATCATGTCGTATAAACTCATCTATCTATATTATAACACTTAAATGAGTTATATTATGTAACCGTATTTCAGTATTATACAACAAGTCCAAAGGGCCGTGCATAATGTTTAACTATTTAAAACTTACTTATTAATTTTAAAGAAATCATAAAATTAAAATAATTAGAGTAAAATTGGCAATGTCTTTGACCTTTTTTAGGCTTTACCAAATTATTTTCAATTTCTTCTTTTGCTTTCTTTTTTCTTTAAATCACCTGATTTGATAGAGAGAAGATGCCACAGATGTAAAGCCCAACGTACATCCAAAAGAGCCTGAGCCCAAAGCCCGCAGTTGCCCAGCAACGGTTGGGTTTTACCAGTCGGTCCCGCTTTAAACAAGATAAGATTTTCGTCAAAAATATGCTACGGTCTTCTGCTCCAACAGCTTCTTCAGAAATTCCCTTAAAACTTCATTCATACTTGGCTTTTCTCTGAGCACTTCTGAGAGACGAAACCCAGAAAGGAAATGCCTCAAACCCTTTTCTTAAAGCCCTTCATTTCAGCTCCTTTGGATAATTGGAGGTTTGTTTTCCTTCATCCCCTTTTGCTAAACCCCTGTAAAACCCCTAAAAACCCATACTTTCATTTGAGCATCTGTGTTTTATTTCAGCTTCTGAGTCTGCATTCTTGATGCTCTGTTTGGTTACTTGTATAATTTGGGGGGATAACATTGAATTTTTGAGGTTCAGGGCTGTAGCTTTTTACTTTGAAAGTGAAGTGAATTATTTTACTACATTTTTTAGCTAATGTTTTCTCTCGGCAGCCAAACAGGGGGTTGTGGTTAACCAAATTTTCTGTTTTGATTCAAAATTCTGAAAGATATGAGTACATAGTATGATTTTTCTTGATGGGGTTGAAGGTGAAATTGCTGTTTTTGTATGCCTCTGGAGTATGCTATCATTTTTGAAGACGTGCAACCGTAAATTATGAATGTTTGAGTATAATTAGATTAATTTATATCTACCTAGTTGCATTGTTGTGCAATTGAATTTCTCTGCAATGTGGCCTTTGGCTTGCTTGCTCCCCTGGATGTGCAATTCGTACTTTTACATTGTCATCAACCTAAGTCGGGCTTTTGCATAGAAATGACTAGTTTGAGAACTCTCTGTCTGATGGTTTATGTGTTCATTGTGGTATTGAGAAATAACAATGTGAATTTTGTATCCAGTAAATTGAAAGCGTGCACAAATTCTATTGGTGCCAATGTCAAGGTGCGTGGAAGAGTGGGGGTAGTTTGTATGGGTATGCTGGCACCAAGAAAGTTCTTGCAGAAAAGGAAGAAAGTAGAAGTTTTCAAAGATGCTGCGGATGAAGCTGAGCAGAAGAACTGGAGGAGACTGATGAATGAAATTGAAGAGACAGGTTCTGCTGTTTCTGTGCTCAAAAGTGAAAGGCTCAAGGACAAGACTATTCCTAAGGATCTTGTACTTGGAACTTTGGTCAGATTCAAGCAACTGAAAAAATGGAACCTTGTCAGCCAGGTATGTAGAGGTGCACTTTTTTTGTGCTGCAACAGAAAAGATTTGGTTACTTCTTAAAAGTCAGTTAATTCTTTCTGAGGATGACAAGCTGTAGCCAACTAGTAAATTAATCTATGCTGACGTCATTCTTAGTTTATGTGGAGGAAAAGGGTATTTTCTGTGTGCAATATAGTATGAATATTTCAATTAGTTGGGGCAGCTTCCCTGTAGGAATGGCTTATAGGTTGGATCAGATAAATTTATTGATCAATCATTTAGAACATCCTGCATATTATAGACAAACCAATCAGATAAATTACATGGATAGGATGTTTTATTTTTCTTGTAAATCATTCATTTTCTGAGCTCATTACTTTTAGTGCTTGATTTGCTTTGATGTTCAAATCTCTTCTTTGCTTATGTCCTTTGTCTTCTAGATTCTTGAATGGCTCCAAACTCAAAATTGGTGGGACTTCAGCAAAATGGATTTCCTGATGCTTATAACAGCTTATGGAAAGCAAGGGCACTTCAATGGGGCTGAGAAGGTTTTAAGTTTGATGAATGAGAAGGGAATTCCACCAAGTGTAATATCTCATACTGCTCTTATGGAAGCATATGGAAAAGGAGGCCGATATAACAATGCTGAAGCAATATTTAGAAGGATGCAGTCTTCTGGCCCTGAACCGTCTGCTGTGACTTATCAAATAATACTAAAAATCTTTGTTGAGGTAATATCATCTTTAATTCCTTAGCCAAACTTGTGGATGTCCCTAAACGTTTATATTAAATCTTAACTATAAATTTTCAATTTAGTGCTACACTATTTTGATGATGCTTATATTAGGTCATGTATAGCAAATTTTCTTTTTATTTTATGCTTTAATGAATGGAAGCTGTATTTCAGTAAGTTCTATTCTTTTGAAATATATAGGTACCAATTGAATGATCTAGGTTATAAGCTCAGTGCGGTCTATGTCTGGCCTTAATTTATATAGTTGTTCAAATTTGCAGCAAGATTACGTTAAAGTTTTTTTAGTAGAAATAAAAAAGTGAACATGAAGCAAAGTAGATGATATTTTCTTTAAAATTTATTTTTGAATATACGTTTTTTGTTTCTCTTTTGTCTCTTGAATGATTTGCTTTAGACAAATAGGTGCTGCTGTATCTAGAATATGATTTGCTTGCTGTAATCTTTCTAATAGTTTGTTGAGCAATATGCATGCTTTCATTGGAGAGTCATTCTACCCACCTCACGAGAGTACCTTGAAATCTGCAGGGATGTAAGTTCAAGGAAGCAGAAGAAATTTTTGAGACCCTTTTGGATGAGGGAAAATCGCCTTTGAAGCCAGACCAAAAGATGTTCCATATGATGATTTATATGTATAAGAAGGCCGGGAGTTATGATAAAGCTCGTAAGATGTTCGCATTGATGGCTGAGAGAGGGGTTCAGCAATCGACGGTTACTTATAATAGCTTAATGTCATTTGAAACTAATTACAAGGAAGTTTCAAAGATGTATAACCAGGTAAATTTTGTGAAAATATCTTAATAATTATTCATATGGCTCGCAAGAGCATGCTGAACAGTTCCTATTAGAGTATGCTTTAGAATTGTAAAATAATCTTGCAGCACTAATTGCCTGGTCTGTTCTCTTAAGCATCATTGGTTGAATTATGATCAGGATAGAAGAATGTGCTTCCTTTCTGGTCAAGAATCACACCTTTATCCATTCCTTGCAGCCTTCTTTCTCAAGTCTGCACATTTATCGTGATTTTTTCCAATGGCTTTATTCATGAGGCTTGCTTTGGTAGGGACCTAATCTGTTATCATGTGTACCCGTCAAAGGTTTCCCAGGCCTCAGCAGCAAGAGCTTTGTGGTTCAGTAGTCATGCATGACCTCTTTTTAGTTAGAATTTTTTAAAATATTAAATATTAAAAAAAAAAAAAATCAGTTTTAAATTAAATTGTTTGTAGAGAATGAAAGGGCTTCTCCTTATCCATTGTTCTTGTCGTATATCAGGCATGTAGTTTTTTTCTTTGAAGTGTGCCCAGTTTATACAACATATCATTCAAAGGGCAAAAACTGGCTTACATATATTATGCATATAAATGAAAAGTGGAAAAGGATGCCTTTTATTATCTGCCAGCTTTAACAATGATTTTGAATGGTCGACAAGCACACATGAAAGTCATCCCCTTCTCCATGCTTATCTTGTTAATTTGTTTTCCTGAAATTCGTACCAACTATTCACCTGAAGTTCCATGACCTAAATATCAAGGTTTTCAAGTGATCAGCTTTATTGTTAATTATAAAATTCATCAGAAATTAACGGTAACTTCAAATGGCAGATGCAAAGAGCTGGTCTCCGACCTGACGTAGTGAGCTATGCCTTACTCATTAGTGCTTATGGGAAAGCTAGAAGAGAGGAAGAAGCCTTAGCTGTTTTTGAGGAGATGCTTGATGCTGGTGTCAGGTACTTAGGCTCAATGCTACTTATTCTATTGATACAGGGAGCCAAAGTATTTGAAAGTTGAATATGTGAGGAACTGATTCATATTCTTAATTCAACTTGTTTATTTAATTCAAGCTTGCAAAACTCAATGAAGCTGACATGGTCACTTGGCTCCCCTGCTTGTGTTTTGCGTAAATGATTGTAATGAAATGAATTTTCGAGTTGATGTATCATCATCTACAAAGGTTATATCTAAATTGTAGATGATTGCACTGGCTTCAAACTTGACTGGTTTTGCACCAAGGCGTAGCTGTGGAAAGTAGACACTGTCAGGCCAATTTATGCTACACACAATTTACTTTTGGCTGAATTCTTGATGCCAATTCCTTGCCATTGATGAAATCTATAATCTCAGCCATTCTTTCTGTTTTGCAGACCAACCCCGAAAGCTTATAACATTTTGCTTGACGCATTTGCAGTATCAGGAATGGTGGACCAAGCTCGAACTGTTTTTAAGAGCATGAGAAGGGACAGGTATACTTCTCAGTACCTGCATGTTGATTACGCTACATTCAGAGATGAGTTGCATTTGCTAAAAAATTAGTTTCCATATATTCAAAATTCTTGTTTTGGTTATAGAAAGATTTCTATTGTGCTTATTATTAGTGGCAGTAAATGACAACTGAGTACTTTGTGCGCTCTTTTTAGGATAAGAACTTGTGAGGAAAATTGGATAAGGAAAAGTTTCAACTATAAAATATTTACATAATATATTTTTCTTATCTGCTTTATCATGTTCAGAAGATTTCAAATAAGTGGTTAGTGACATTGATATATTATATTAGGGGTGGACCTGTTAGTTGGGTCCACATATCATAGAAGTCTTGGATTTGAAAGTTATAGTGAATTGATGTTTCCATTGTAGTAGGGGAACTTGGATGATGTCAGTATATCATACTTGTTGAGATATTTAAAAAGTATCATGTGCAAGCATGCTTTTTATGTGACATTTTGTTTCATTTCTTTATGCCCATGTATTCTTCCACCCATCCGCCTGTTTGCCTGTCCTCTTCACCTAGATTTTATTTTTTGGTTATTTTTTGTCTGTTTATATGTGTTCAAGCGTGTATATGAAGTTACTAAATTTTTACATACTGATCACCATTGGGTCAGATTGTAAATTCTACAAACCAGTCAACAACTCAATGTTTGATTGGATTCGATTTGAATCCATCAGTCCATTTCTCTCACTTCTTTTCTCCCTTCACTGATTATCTTCACATGTATTTTCCAAATTAAATACCTAGGTCTTGAATGAACTTTATGATTCTATTGTCTGATAGAACCATGGATTTTTAGGTTGTAACGTCATGTATCTAACTCAACAAGAATGTGGTCTGTTGACAGAATCATTAAAGACATGATTTTGTAGGAGTGTAGAAATAGCCATATTTATGATGGTAATACCTGTCCCTAAAAATGTACTGTCTATGGTCTGGATAGTGAACCCTCTATATTTGTTTGCTTTTCTTCAGGTATAAACCTGATCTTTGCTCTTATACGACTATGTTATCAGCATATGTAAATGCATCTGATATGGAGGGTGCTGAAAAGTTTTTCTTAAGAATAAAACAAGATGCACTTAAACCCAATATCGTCACTTACGGAACCTTAATCAAAGGGTATGCTAAGACAAATAATATAGAGAAGATGATGGAGAAATATGAGGAAATGCAGGCAGCTGGTGTCAAACCAAATCAAACAATCTTAACGACAATAATGGATGCATATGGCAAGAACAGAGATTTTGGCAGTGCTGTTGTTTGGTACAAGGAAATGGAAACCTGTAGCCTTCCACCTGATCAGAAAGCAAAGAATATCCTTTTCTCTTTGGCGAAAACAGCAGAAGAACAGAAGGTAGCTAACCAAATTGTAGGGAATTTGGATCAGTGTAGCAATGAACAAGGAGGTGCGAAGTTTTTGGTGCCTGTTGATGAGAATGATAGCGAGGATGAGGATGCGGATGATGACGACAATCATGATGATGAATTAGATGGTCCTTCACAGGTCATTTCATCATATGATGAACAAAAACATGAACTGATTTATTTAAATGGTGATAATGAGAAAAACCTTGACGGCTTACTTAAAGTGGCTAATTTGTAAATTGCGGGGGGGTCTCTATTTTGTGGTATAGTTACGTTACTCAAGCTTTATTATTATTATTCATGCAAGAATATCAGTTGAGAGTTATTACGTGGAAACGGAATTCTTGATGCCAATTCCTTGCCATTGATGAAATCTATAATCTCAGCCATTCTTTCTGTTTTGCAGACCAACCCCGAAAGCTTATAACATTTTGCTTGACGCATTTGCAGTATCAGGAATGGTGGACCAAGCTCGAACTGTTTTTAAGAGCATGAGAAGGGACAGGTATACTTCTCAGTACCTGCATGTTGATTACGCTACATTCAGAGATGAGTTGCATTTGCTAAAAAATTAGTTTCCATATATTCAAAATTCTTGTTTTGGTTATAGAAAGATTTCTATTGTGCTTATTATTAGTGGCAGTAAATGACAACTGAGTACTTTGTGCGCTCTTTTTAGGATAAGAACTTGTGAGGAAAATTGGATAAGGAAAAGTTTCAACTATAAAATATTTACATAATATATTTTTCTTATCTGCTTTATCATGTTCAGAAGATTTCAAATAAGTGGTTAGTGACATTGATATATTATATTAGGGGTGGACCTGTTAGTTGGGTCCACATATCATAGAAGTCTTGGATTTGAAAGTTATAGTGAATTGATGTTTCCATTGTAGTAGGGGAACTTGGATGATGTCAGTATATCATACTTGTTGAGATATTTAAAAAGTATCATGTGCAAGCATGCTTTTTATGTGACATTTTGTTTCATTTCTTTATGCCCATGTATTCTTCCACCCATCCGCCTGTTTGCCTGTCCTCTTCACCTAGATTTTATTTTTTGGTTATTTTTTGTCTGTTTATATGTGTTCAAGCGTGTATATGAAGTTACTAAATTTTTACATACTGATCACCATTGGGTCAGATTGTAAATTCTACAAACCAGTCAACAACTCAATGTTTGATTGGATTCGATTTGAATCCATCAGTCCATTTCTCTCACTTCTTTTCTCCCTTCACTGATTATCTTCACATGTATTTTCCAAATTAAATACCTAGGTCTTGAATGAACTTTATGATTCTATTGTCTGATAGAACCATGGATTTTTAGGTTGTAACGTCATGTATCTAACTCAACAAGAATGTGGTCTGTTGACAGAATCATTAAAGACATGATTTTGTAGGAGTGTAGAAATAGCCATATTTATGATGGTAATACCTGTCCCTAAAAATGTACTGTCTATGGTCTGGATAGTGAACCCTCTATATTTGTTTGCTTTTCTTCAGGTATAAACCTGATCTTTGCTCTTATACGACTATGTTATCAGCATATGTAAATGCATCTGATATGGAGGGTGCTGAAAAGTTTTTCTTAAGAATAAAACAAGATGCACTTAAACCCAATATCGTCACTTACGGAACCTTAATCAAAGGGTATGCTAAGACAAATAATATAGAGAAGATGATGGAGAAATATGAGGAAATGCAGGCAGCTGGTGTCAAACCAAATCAAACAATCTTAACGACAATAATGGATGCATATGGCAAGAACAGAGATTTTGGCAGTGCTGTTGTTTGGTACAAGGAAATGGAAACCTGTAGCCTTCCACCTGATCAGAAAGCAAAGAATATCCTTTTCTCTTTGGCGAAAACAGCAGAAGAACAGAAGGTAGCTAACCAAATTGTAGGGAATTTGGATCAGTGTAGCAATGAACAAGGAGGTGCGAAGTTTTTGGTGCCTGTTGATGAGAATGATAGCGAGGATGAGGATGCGGATGATGACGACAATCATGATGATGAATTAGATGGTCCTTCACAGGTCATTTCATCATATGATGAACAAAAACATGAACTGATTTATTTAAATGGTGATAATGAGAAAAACCTTGACGGCTTACTTAAAGTGGCTAATTTGTAAATTGCGGGGGGGTCTCTATTTTGTGGTATAGTTACGTTACTCAAGCTTTATTATTATTATTCATGCAAGAATATCAGTTGAGAGTTATTACGTGGAAACGGAATTCTTCCACACCAGCTTAGTGGCATTTAAGCAACTGTTTACTGCTTTTGGCTTCTGATTGCTTGTGAACTATATAGGCTCAGAATTCAGGCCACCTTTGATCGCGCTTCTATTGGCGGTGAGATGGGCAGAGAACAAAATGGAACCATTTGAGTTTTGTCAGGCTTATTAATGTGCATTTTTGGAATTCATAGTTTTGTGATTCAAGTGTGGCAGCTTCTTCTCAAGTTATGTCTTTCAGCAATAGCTAGGTAGTATAGTTCTGAATGTGACATATTCATCAGAGCAGAAACTATTACTGTTCGATTCTGTGAAACAAATAGGATGGTTTTCTTTCCCTTATATCATCAAAATTGGCAACAGTCTGATTGGTTGTACACTATACAGGGGAAGAAGGTGCAAACTTATAGTCTAAATCTCGTTGACCAAGCTATGTCAAAACACAGGAATTCATACATGAACCGCAGGTGAAATCAAGTTTTGAAAACCTCCATGGCCTTATACATCGGTCAGCGAGTCTTGTATTTCTGCTGCTTTCTTCAATCGATCAGCTGCTTTTTCAACCTACAAAAGCATGGTGATTAGTGATAAGTTGATCAAATGCAGTCCATGTTGACTATATACGCCAAGATAAGACAATACTTAATCAAAATTTAAATTACCTCAGTATTCCAATTTGTTCTGGCGGTGAGAATAATTAGAGTTACTGTTTGTAGAAAAACTCCAATAATCATCCCCCACCAAATACCCTGAAAAAGGTAAAAAGAATGCATCATGTTCTATCATTCACAAAGAAATAGCTTTACTAGCACAAGAGTGAGGGAGAGATTGAACTTACTGCTACTCCCATGTTGGTTTTGAAGCCAAGAACACATCCGATTGGAAGACCGATAATGTAGTAGCAAGTCAGGTTAACATAGGCCACAACAGCTTGCCATCCACTTCCAATTGCCACCCCTGAAATTCCACAGAGTTAAATTATAAATGACGCCTCACAATGCCTGCAGACCTGGTTTGTTCATCTACTCCTTTTGTCACATATCAGTACCTGAGAGTATTGGTTGAATGCCATTCAAGAAAACAGAGATGGCCAGCAATGGGGTTAACTCAGATACTGCCACGATAACTTCGGAATCACTCGTAAAAAGCTTGCTTAATCCAACTTTAAAAATCAATACAATTGCACTGAAGACTATGCTAATAAGTATGCTGGTCCCGTTCACAACAAACACTGAAAATTTGGCCACCCTTGCATTACCAGCACCTAGCTCATTACTGACTCGAACACTGCATAACCGATGTCTCGTTATCAATAAAGAAAATTATAATTCGTGATTAAGATATAAACATTCTTAGGAGCATTTTACTTGTCACAAACCTGGCTGCTGCACTTAGGCCTAACATAAATTGCATGTCCCAGTTCAAATAGTTCATGCTGGAATTATATCACATCAGAAAATGTAAAGTTAGACTAACAATGTGAGTTAAACAATTGAGCAAATTGACTGATAAAAGGAAAAGCTTAAATCGAATGCTTTAACACAAGACATACCAAATAGAAATGGAGTCTAGAGCAATTGTAGGATTGGAGAGAAGCCCTGATATCAGCACCAGCCCCTGGTTGTACCATATCTCCAAGCTACATTAATGCATGACCAAACCCAAGAGTTATTGAAAGGTAAAAACAAGTGTGTTTTTTTAGTACAACCGATTGGGGGAGGGGGTTTTACACAAATATTCATTGGGTGTCCGGGGTTTTTGAACTTCTGAACACATGGGTAGAGGTGAAAGAGCTCAACCGAGCTATACCCCACTAGTGAAAGGTAAAAAAAAGTGTTTGCAAATGAGATGTGCAGTTAAAAAAAAGGGGGAGAAAAGGGTTAAAATGTGACACTTACCAGAGCATGATAGCAGAAGAAAGAGTTAACTTAAAATAAGGCCAAATTCCTTTGAAGGCATTCCAAGAGAAGCCAGTCCAAGTTTCCTTGCAGTTGGGGCTTAGAATAATGTAAAGTCCATATGTAATGACAAGAAGCCACCAAGAGAGGCTGAGAGTAAGAGCCGCCCCCAGTAGGCCATATTCCACAACATAAACCACCAACCAAGTGAGAAGAACGTGGATGAGGAAAACCCCCACAGACATGTAAGCCAAAGGGTTCACAATGTTTTGTGCTTGAAGGAACCTCTGTTGGGGGCAGTTGATTGCAAATGCATAAAGCTGAGGAATTATGCCCCTTGCAAACACTTGGCCCTTCAATGCTATGTCTTCTGCCTGGCCTATGGCTATAAGTATTGGACCAGACCACCAATACACAAATGTAAGGAGGACTGCTGCTCCCAAGTGCAAGATGACTGCTTTTTGGAATATGATGCCCATTTCTGGCAATTTTCTGGCTCCAAATGCTTGCCCACACACAGTTTGCACAGCACTAGCCATTCCCAACTTTTGATTCAAAAGCAAGGGGAAAAAAAAAAAAAATTCAACCACAAAATAGAAAAAATTTAAAAAACATAGAGATACATATAACTCATTTGGTACATTAGTTTGGGATACTTACCATAATCCCATAAGCAAGACCTTGAATTCCCACACTAGCAATAGAGGCTCCAGCCAGGTCCAAGGCACTCAAATGGCCACAAAACATGAGGGTGACAAAGCTGAGCATGTAATTAAATATGGAGACAATGATAGATGAACCAGATAAAATCCAGAGCAGCCTTGATTCCCATGCCACCAGTCTAGGCCACCATCGGACCGCCACAGGCCTGTGCTCCAGAAAATCTTCGATGGCAGCGGACGACAAGCCAGGTATCTGGGAATGTGAGTCAAGTCCCAGCAGCAGTGGCTGGTACTCCTCCGCCGACCCCATGGTTGCCACTACGGCTTGAGGGTTGTGCAGCTGAGTGTGTGTGAGAGTGTGCTTGTGCTACTTGGAAGAAGCAGAGTGAATAAATTTATATGATGTTACATTATGTACAAAATTAAGAAGGGAAAGTAGAAAGCTTAGGGTCTTAACTACCTTTCAAATTGTTTGGTACCTACTGGCTCATTCATGCGTTATATTAGCAAGAGAAATTTAGCTGCAACTACCTATTTTTTTGTCTACAAATTACACCAAACCAAAACCCATGTATAATTTCCAAGTCAAATGTGGCATTTAAACTTTGAAGGCTCCGAGCAGTGCTTTGTTAAATGCAAACTGAATATGTCACTTGTCAGTTCCCTGTGGCATAGCCCGATAGTTGGTGGGGCCCATTTCAGTTTATTGTGCTTGTTTGTATTGGATAAAAAGGACATTTTTGCTCACCACTTTAACCCAATGTGTACTCTCACCACCCTTGACATTTGTCCATATGAATAACCATAGTTAATTTTTGGTTTTAAATATTTTAAAATATTTAAAACCAAATAATAATATAAAATAAAATAACTTTCTCCTCTCTCTCCCCCGTCTCTGACCGACTCCCTCCATCCATGACGGCTCAAATTCTAAACCCATCTCTGCTGGCACATTATCCCTCTGGTCCTCCACCTCCGCCCTTGTGCATCAGTCAATTTACTTTATATAAAAATAAAAATAAAGCATAATGCTTTCAATTGGTTCAAGCAGTAATAATAATACCTATCGACCCTTACGGAAGATTACAAACTCACCGAACCAAATTTCCCTAAAATCAAGATCTCTTGGACTACTTCTATCAGATTCTCCTAGGTTTGAGATCCAGTGGCTGTTAATGAGAGTAGGCTTAGAAAAAGTTTGAAGCTTTTGAAAAAAGAGATTGGAATTCAACTTGGGAAATTCGTTTATGTAAGCTATGCAATTCTTCTTCCTCGTAAATTAGTCTTTGAGTCCTTACTTTTTGGCTCTTAAAGGCAAATAGGGCGCGGTGGAGGGTGAACAAGGCGGGGGAGGGAATGGTGGCTGGGTTGTTAGAACGGAATGGTTGGGTTGCTATATGGGGAATGGTGGCTTAGGGTTGCTGGAGGTGGGTCGGGAAGGAGGGAGAGAGAAGGAGAGTTTTTAAATTAAATTAAATTATTATTTTACTTTATTATTTGGTTTTAAAAAAATTAACTATGGTTATCTCATAGACATGTGTCAACTGTTTAGAATGGTGGTGATGGTACACCTTAAGTTAAAGTGGTGAGCAAAAATGCTTCTATTGGATAAATTATTGTAGGGCAATGATTTCCCCACTCCTATTTTATCTACTTACACTCCATTTTTAGTTATAAAAAATGAGTGTAAGTGGATAAAATAGGAGAAAAAGGAGTGGGGAAATCACCACTCTTATTGTATTGATTTTGGAGTGGACCCAGATACCATTGACAAGTTTTGGTTAGGTCAACACGTGCACCTAATATGGCCACTAGAAATTTTTGGGTTTTGTTTCTGATTAGCAGTTAATAATTTCGATTAGGTAAGAAAAGTTTACTGAGTTATGTAGATGGGCACGTGCACCTTCATAAAAGAAATGCTTACTCACATGACAGCTTTAGGATTCTAGGATTCTTGAAGGTAGAGAGAATCTCAGAAGCCATTACTAAATTGAATGGTTTTTACAAAATATTAAGAAATTAATTTTTCAAATATTTAACTACCATAATTGCTGTACAGTTTGATTGAGTTGCTACATATGATCAGATGCCATTTTGTAGTTTCTTTGATTGTAACTTTGGAGTGAGAAGTAAATTGTCATATGTGTATCTTGTTAATTTGTTTTCCTGAAATTCGTACCAACTGTTCACCTGAAGATCCCTCAGAAATTAACTGAAACTTCAAATGGCAGATGCAAAGAGCTGGTCTCCGACCTGACGTAGTGAGCTATGCCTTACTTATTAGTGCTTATGGGAAAGCTAGAAGAGAGGAAGAAGCCTTAGCTGTTTTTGAGGAGATGCTTGATGCTGGTGTCAGGTACTTAGGCTCAATGCTACTTATTCTATTGATACAGAGAGCCACAGTATTTGAAAGTTGAATATGTGAGGAACTGATTCATATTCTTAATTCAACTTGTTTATTTAATTCAAGCTTGCAAAACTCAATGAAGCTGACATGGTCACTTGGCTCCCCTGCTTGTGTTTTGCATAAATGATTGTAATGAAATGAATTTGCAAGTTGATGTATCATCATCTACAAAGGGAAAGTAGACACTTGCAGGCCAATTTATGCTACACACAATTTACTTTCGGCCGAATTCTTGATGCCAATTCCTTACCATTGATGAAAACTATAATCTCCGCCATTCTTTCTGTTTTGCAGACCAACCCCGAAAGCTTATAACATTTTGCTTGACGCATTTGCAGTATCAGGAATGGTGGACCAAGCTCGAACTGTTTTTAAGAGCATGAGAAGGGACAGGTATGCTTCTCAGTACCTGCATGTTGATTATGCTATATTCCGATGAGTTGCACTTGCTGAAAAATTAGTTTCATATATTCAAAATTCTTGTTTTGGTTCTAGAAAGATTTCTATTGTGCTTATTATTAGTGGCAGTGAATGACAACTGAGCACCTTGTGCACTCGTTTTAGGATAAGACCTTTTAAGGAAAACTGGATAAGGAAAAGTTTCAACTATAAAATATTCACATAGTTGTTGGAGCATGATTTCTTTCAAGAAGAAATATCTCCACAGGTTCTTGACTGAAGTCCGCACGCTTCCTTGGTTGAAGGAGAACTCCGGATTACGTTCCCGAAGTCGAATGGTGGAAATAGGGTGAGTAACTACAAAAGCCACTCCAACGCTCAAGTCAATGTTTGTGCAACGTACTCTTAGTGTTCAACTGAATTTCTCGTACCTTGGTTGGAGGTCTAGCCGGGTTTTTATAGTGCTTCGAGTTCTTGGGTTTGGCCATACTTCCCTAGCTTTGAGCATCCCGTCCTCTACTTCATGGTAGTGGGATCATATGAGTGATTTGTGTCTCCCTCGCTCCGCATTTCTATAGTGGGAGGGAAGCTCGATCATCCCACGTCTTTTGGTTGTGGCATATGGGTTAAGCCATGATAAATGAGATTTGGTCCCCACAGTGCCCCCTTTTTTTCCTCTCTACGCGCTTTGCAAGTGGAGAGGGAAAAATGATCTAAGTGGGATGGAATAGGATTTCTTCGGGTTGAGTGCATGTCATCCTGATGGGTTCATGGTTGAGCCCCAAATAAGCCATACCCTTTTCCCTTGGGCTTGTTGGTCAAGCCCAAAAATATGATTCCTATTGGCTTATCACCGACTCACGCATGTTGCTTTCACACCTTGCATGCAAAATATTCAAATATGAATTTTCATGCACGTTGCTAACTTCTCAAGTTTCAACTGTGGACTGCTACCCCTATGTGGAGTATCCAAGTATGGACAGCTGATCTCATGCGCAAGTGGACCCTTTTCTTTATTTTGAATTTATGTACCTCTACCGATTAGGTGGGCCCATGCGCATTTTCCTCTTTGCTAACCTACCCCATTGGGGTGCGCTTGGTTTCAAGCTTTTGCCGACCTCGTGGGCCCCCGATCCTTGCTTTCTCTTTGCTAGCCGATCCCAACTCCAGTCGGGGTGCGCTTGGTTTTGAGCTTTTGCCGATCCGGTGGGTCCCATGCCTCTTGGTTTCTCTTTCCTAGCCGATCCCAAATTGATTGGGGTGTGCTCAGTTTTAAGCTTTTGCCGATCCGGTGGGTCCCATGCCTCTTTGTTTCTCTTTACTAGCCAATCCCAACCTTAGTTAGGGTGCACTTAATTTTGAGCTTTTGCCAATCTGATGGTCCTATGCCTCTTGGTTTCTCATTGCTAGCCGATCCCAAATGGATTTCAACGAGTTGGTGCAGTGGTATTTGCCTAGAGTTTGACCTTGGAGGTCTTGCGTTCAACATCTCCACCCTTTATCTTAAAATATTCTCTCTCTCTTTTTTCTTGCACTTGAGCCGTCCATGCGGACCCAAAATCCCATAGTTGTCCTTCCGGACTCGTGTGACGTCGGTTTCTCAATCGGTCCAAGGTGTTCACAAACCTTTTTTTTTCCTTCTCCTTTTTTTTCTCGCACTTGAGCCGTCCACGAGGGCCCCAAAACCCCTTAGCTGTCCTTCCAGACCAGCGTGGTTTCTCAACCGAGCCAAGATGTTCGCGAACTTTTTTTTTCTTCTTTTTTTTTTTCTCGCACTTGAGCTGTCCACGCGGGCCCTGAAACCCCTTAGCTGTCCTTTCGGACCCGTGCGACTTTGGTTTCTCAACTGATCCAAGATGTTCACGAACCTTTTTCTTCCCCTTTTTTTTTCCCTTGCACTTGAGCCATCCATGCGGGCCCCAAAACCCCTTAGCTGTCCTTCCGGACCAGTGCGCTTTCGGTTTCTCCTCTTTGTTTTCACCGACTCCCAAGCGGTCCACGATCTAGTCTTTGCGTGAGGAGGTGAACAAGCATAGCTCCATAGGTGTACTTATTACCTTGCATCACTTAGTGCTTACATCTGTTGCTCTTATTTGTCTTTTGTCGAAACGCATGCAGCTTTCTGTTAGGAAAGCGCATGAGTTGGATGTAAATAATTTTCGACTGGTCATATCAGACCAGGCTTTGTTGCTAGAGCCTAAGGCAAATATCTGAGCCGGCCACACTGAATCTTATCTTCGCTTTTGAAAAACTTCTTCCCGTGACTTCTGTGAATTATTTTCTCAATCTTCGCCCCCTGCTATAAAAGGCTGGTCGATAGAGACATACTAATTCGTAAAACCGTTTATACTTTGATTTTATTCTTCATATATAAGCTCTAGGTGCAAAGGGAGAGGAAAGTGTTTTGTGCGTTTGAGAACTCCGCCGAAGGGTTCTTGTTCTTGCCACCACCTAGTAAGTATTATTTTCATATTTACTATTTTCTTGTCAAGCCACGAGATTTTGCCCAAGTCCAGTGGTCTCCCACCGAACTACGAGATACTTAAGGCTCGCACTAAATGATGTGTTCCCGACAACGTGGGGATCAATCCTCTGCCTTTGGGGTTAGATAATACACTGGTGTCGGTATCCCTCAGGGTTCCTTAATTCTCTCGCCGGCCTACTTAGAGCATGTTAGGTTTCCACTCCATTTCCTCTTTCATATGCTCCTATTCTTCCTGGGCCTTCACCCCATGCAACTAAACCCAAATTCTTTCTTTCCCATATCTGGGTTTCTAGCCGTCGGTTTGAAATGGGGTGTGTCCCTTAGCTTTAAGGATTTCATTTACCTCTATGACTTGGCTTGTGTTAGGGGGGAAAGTCACTATATCTTTTTTACGTCTGGGTCAGGTAAAAAGGTATTTACTTGTAAGCCCACTTCCACCAAGTATTGGAAAAACCAACCTCTCTTAATCACTGGGGAGTGGGCAGCGCCTGAGATGTCTAACATGCCTATCCCGTTGGCATTTGGCTGATCACCGAATTCTAGGCGCCGTTGGTGTTAGACATCTCAGGCCCCGCCCACTCCCCAGTTATTAAGAGAGGTTGATTTTTCCAGTACTTGGTGAAAGTGGGCTTACAGGTAAATACCTTTTTACCAGACCCAGACGTAAAAAAGAAATAGTGACTTTGCCCCCTAACATAAGCCAAGTCGTAGAGGTAAATGAAATCCTTAAAACTAAGGGACACACCCCATTTCAAACCGACGGCTACCAGATATGAGAAAGAAAGAATTCGGGTTTAGTGGGGTGAAGACCCAGGAAGAATAGGAGCATATGAAAGAGGAGATGGAGTGGAAACCTAACATGCTCTAAGTAAACCGACGAGAGAATTAAGGAACCCTGAGGGATACCAGCACCAGTGTGTATATCCGACCCCAAAGACAGAGGATCGATCCCCAAGTTGTCAGGAACACATCCTTTAGTACGAGCCTTAAGTATCCCGTAGTTCGGTGAGACACCACCGGACTTGGGCCAAATCTCGTGGCTCGACATGAAAATAGCAAAGATGAAAATAGTATTTACAAGGTGGTGGCAAGTACAAGAACCCTTCGACGGAGTTCTCAAACGCACAGAACACTTTCCTCTCCCTTTGCGCCTAGAGCTTATATATGAAGAATAAAAGCAAAGTATAAACGGTTTTACAAATGAGTGTCTCTATCAACCAGCCTTTTATACCAGGGGGCGAAGATTGGGAAAATAATTCACAAAAGTCACGGAAAGAAGTTTTTCAAAAGCAAAGATAAGATTTGGTGTGGCCGGCTCAGATATTTACCTTAGGCTTTGGCAACAAAGCTTGGTCTGATATGACCAATCAAAATTATTTCTATTCAACGCATGCGCTTCCCTGACAGAAAGCTGCATGCGATTCCACAAAAGACAAATAAGAACAACAGATGTAAGCAATAAGTGATGCAAGGTAGTAAGTACACCTACGGAGCTAGGCTTGTTCACCCCCTCAACTAAGTACTAGATCGTGTACCGCTTGGGAGTCGGTGAAAATGAAGAGGAGAAACCAAAGGCGCACGGGTTCGGAAAGACAGCTAAGGGGTTTTGGGGCCCACGTGGACGACTCAATTGCATGAGAAAAAGAGGGGGAAAAAAAAAAGGTTCGTGAACATCTTGGATTGGTTGAGAAACCAAAGGTGCACGGGTCCGGAAGGACAGCTAAGGGGTTTCAGGGCCCGTGTGGGCGGCTCAAGTGCAAGAAAAAAAAGGAGAAGAAAAAAATAAAAAGTTCGTGAACATCTTGGATCAGTTGAGAAACCGAAGGCGCATGAGTTCGGAAGGACAACTAAGGGGTTTTGGGGCCCGCGTGGATGGCTCAAGTGCGAGAAAAAAAAAGGAGGAGAAAAAAAGAAAATAAAAAAGTAAAAAAGTAAAAAAATAAAAAAAGATTCGTGAACACCTTGGAGAAACCGAAGGCACACAGGTCCGGAAGGACAGCTAAGGGGTTTTGGGGTCTGCGTGGATGGCTCATGTGAGAGAAAAAAAAAGAGAAGAAAAAAAAAAAGTTCGTGAACATCTTGGATCGGTTGAGAAACCGAAGGTGCACGGGTCCGGAAGGATAGCTAAGGGGTTTTGGGGCCTGCATGGACGACTCAAGTGCGAGAAAAAAAAAGGAGAAGAAGAGGAAAAAAAAAAGGTTCGCGAACATCTTGGATCGGTTGAGAAACCTAAGGCGCACGGGTCCAGAAGGACAGCTAAGGGCTTTTGGGACCTGCGTGGATGACTCAAGTGCGAGAAAAAAAAGGAAAATAATAAAATAATAAAATAATAAAATAATAAAAAAAGGTTCGTGAACACCTTGGATTAGTTGAGAAACCGAAGGCACACAGGTCCGGAAGGACAACTAAGGGGCTCTGGGGCCCGTGTGGACGGCTCAAGTGCGAGAAAAAAAAAAGGTGCACGGGTTCAGAAGGATAGCTAAGGGGTTTGGGGCCCGTGTGGATGGCTCAAGTGCGAGAAAAAAAAAGAGGTTCGTGAACACCTTGGATCGATTGAGAAACCGAAGGCACACGGGTCTGGAAGGACAATTAAGGGGTTTTGGGGCTCGTATGGACGGCTAAAGTGCAAGAAAAAAGGGAGAGAATATTTTAAGATGAATGGTGGAGATTTTGAACAGAAGACCTCCAAGGTCAAACTCAAGGCAAATACGACTGCACCAACTCATTGAAATCCATTTGGGATTGGCTAGCAATGAGAAACCAAGAGGTATGGGACCATCGGATTGGCAAAATCTCAAAATCAATAGCACCCTAATTGGGGTTGGGATCGGCTAGCAAAGAGAAACCAAGAGGCATGGGACCCACCGGATCGGTAAAAGCTTAAAACCTGGCGCACCCTAATCCATTTAGGATCGGCTAGGAAAAAGAAACCAAGAGGCATGCGACCCACCGGATCGGCAAAAGTTCAAAACCAAGCGCACCTCGACTGGAGTTTGGATCGGCTAGCAAAGAGAAAACAAGGATCATGGAGCCCACGGGGTCGGCAAAAGCTTGAAACCAAGCGCACCACAACGGGGGCCGGTTAGTAAAGAGGAAAATGCGCGGGGGCCGGTTCAAAATAAAGAAAAGGGTCCACTTACGCATGGGATCGGTTGTCCGCACTTGGATACTCCACATAGGGGTAGCAGTCCACAGTTGGAACTTGAGAAGTTAGCAACGTGCGTGAAAATTCATATTTGAATATTTCGCATGCAAGGTGTGAAAGCAACATGCATGAGTCGGTGATAAGCCAATAGGAATCATATTTTTGGGCTTGACCAACAAGCCCAAGGGAAAAAGGTATGGCTTATTTGGGGCTCAGTGAGCCCATCAGGATGACATGCCCTCAACCCGAAGAAATCCTGTTCCAAAATTCCACTTAGATCATTTTTCCCTCTCTACCCGCGAAGCGTGTAGAGAGGAAAAAAGAGGGCACTGTGGGGACCAAATCTCATTTATCATGGCTTAACCCATGTGCCACAACCAAAAGACGTGGGATGATCGAGCTTCCCTCCCACTAGAGAAGTGAGGAGCGAGGGATGCGCAAAGCTAGGGAAGTATGGCCAAACCCAAGAACTCGAAGCGCTATAAAAACCCGGTTAGACTTCCAACCAAGGTACAAGAAATTCAGTTGAACACTAAGAGTACATTGCACAAACACTAACTTGAGCGTCGGAGTGGCTTTTGCAGGTACTCACCCCATTTCCACCGTTTGACTTTGGGAACGTAATCGGGAGTTCTCCTTCAAACAGGAAAGCGTGCGGACTTCAGTCAAGAACCTGTGGAAGTATTTCCACACACAACAGTCGACAGTTGATGCAAGCAAGCATAGCTTCTCTTATAGCCTCAGCCTCCATAATTAAGGCCAAGCTGCCATATAATTCCCCCACGCCCTCTGCCTGCAGCTATTAAAGAAGGGGTAATGAAATTTGGATCAGTGTAGCAATGAACAAGGATGTATGAAGTTTTAGGTGCCTGTTGATGAGAATGACAGCGAGGATAAGGATGATGATGACAAGCATGATGATGAATTAGATGGTCCTTCACAGGTCACTTCATCATATGATGAACAAAAACATGAACTGATTTATTTAAATGGTGATAATGAGAAAAGCCTTGAAGGCTTACTTAAAGTGGCTGATTTGTAAATTGGGGGGTTGCTCTATTTTGTGGTATAGTCACGTTACTTGGGCTTTATTATTATTATTCATGCAAGAATATCAGTTGAGAGTTATTACATGGAAACGGAATTCCTCCACACCAGCTTAGTGGCATTTAAGCAAGTAGCAGTTTACTACTATTGGCTTTCGATTGCTTGTGAACTATATAGGCTCAGAATTCAGGCCACCTTCGATTGCGCTTCTATTGGCGGTGAGATGGGTGGAGAACAAAATGGAACCGTTTGAGTTCTGTTAAGCTTATTAATGTGTACTAGCAAAGGTGCTCGCGCGTTTCTGCGAGTTTTAAAGCTTTATATAGACATGGAGATCTAAATAGTGGCATAATGCTTTGTTTAGCAAATTTAAGTTACAAGAAATAGACTTATAATTGTCTTGTTAAAAAATTGACCATATTTTAATAAACCAAGCAGTAATGAAAACATCAAAATAGTAGTAGTTTTGAGTTGCTAATTGTTCAAAAGAGTTTGGCTAGGTCTTACGCTACTCGGTGGTGGAAGGGGATCTATCTCTTGTTGGCTCTGTTGTAGAGGTGGCTTTTGTTTTTCCTTCTCCTCAGTAAGGGTTTTAACTCGGTACAAATTTGCAAAATAGCAGGCGTTAGTGTGTAGATAAGTGGGAAAATTTGAGTGAAAGCAATAACTATTATCACATAATGAAGTTTGAAAATCCAATAGGACAAACAATAGTTTAGATAAATCAGATCTAAGCTTAACTTTGAGATAGAACCCAACCATAAGATTTCCCTATTTATAGGAAAAGTTCCTTCAATTTTTAACTGTTCTTCAGTAACCCTTTTCAGTAGGTAGAAATAACGTAAACAATTGCAGTCTCACCGATGTAGCCATGTTTTAGGCTAAAAGTTCAAGAAAGAATATCACAGAATTTACTGGGTAGCCAAGAAAGAAAAGAACAAAAAGAGTAAGGACAAAATTCAAAATCTATGCTCACAAACACGTGTTGCTAATTGGCATATATTTTTGCCATTATTAATAATAATTGTATAATTTATATTTCACAAAACCATGGGTGAAACCAAGGCAAGGGCTGCCCTTGGCTGTAGCCCAGGAAGGTTTGGGAAAAAAATAAATTAAATACACATATAGCCTAATATTTTAACAATAAATAAATATACAATTTTAACACCAATAGGCATAATCAGGGGTCTTCCACATTTGTATTTGATGTAAAAATTTGTCCCAATATCTATTTTAAAAATTTTCTATTAATTTGTCTCCAAAAGAGAAGAATTTTCCTAAATGAAATTCGCCCTTTTGTGAATAATATGGCTTTAATTTCATTTTTTTTTCTTGTGTTTACAATTAGCATGTAGTGGCATAATGCTTTGTTTAGCAAATTTAAGTTACAAGAAATAGACTTATAATTGTCTTGTTAAAAAATTGACCATATTTTAATAAACCAAGCAGTAATGAAAACATCAAAATAGTAGTAGTTTTGAGTTGCTAATTGTTCAAAAGAGTTTGGCTAGGTCTTACGCTACTCGGTGGTGGAAGGGGATCTATCTCTTGTTGGCTCTGTTGTAGAGGTGGCTTTTGTTTTTCCTTCTCCTCAGTAAGGGTTTTAACTCGGTACAAATTTGCAAAATAGCAGGCGTTAGTGTGTAGATAAGTGGGAAAATTTGAGTGAAAGCAATAACTATTATCACATAATGAAGTTTGAAAATCCAATAGGACAAACAATAGTTTAGATAAATCAGATCTAAGCTTAACTTTGAGATAGAACCCAACCATAAGATTTCCCTATTTATAGGAAAAGTTCCTTCAATTTTTAACTGTTCTTCAGTAACCCTTTTCAGTAGGTAGAAATAACGTAAACAATTGCAGTCTCACCGATGTAGCCATGTTTTAGGCTAAAAGTTCAAGAAAGAATATCACAGAATTTACTGGGTAGCCAAGAAAGAAAAGAACAAAAAGAGTAAGGACAAAATTCAAAATCTATGCTCACAAACACGTGTTGCTAATTGGCATATATTTTTGCCATTATTAATAATAATTGTATAATTTATATTTCACAAAACCATGGGTGAAACCAAGGCAAGGGCTGCCCTTGGCTGTAGCCCAGGAAGGTTTGGGAAAAAAATAAATTAAATACACATATAGCCTAATATTTTAACAATAAATAAATATACAATTTTAACACCAATAGGCATAATCAGGGGTCTTCCACATTTGTATTTGATGTAAAAATTTGTCCCAATATCTATTTTAAAAATTTTCTATTAATTTGTCTCCAAAAGAGAAGAATTTTCCTAAATGAAATTCGCCCTTTTGTGAATAATATGGCTTTAATTTCATTTTTTTTTCTTGTGTTTACAATTAGCATGATTTATATGATTTAATGTATACTTTTATTTCTAGAAAAACTATAGAAATGTAAGTTAAAAAAAAAAAACATTATCATTAGATTTTAAGCTAATAATTTTAGCTAACCCACCTATTGAAAAATTATGTGACAGATGACATATTTTATAAATGACATATTTTTTTAATTTTTATAAAAATATGTCATTTATAGAAAAATGTTTGGTGTTACAATTTTTTTTATATACCAATGCTTTACTATATGAAAAGATTTTTTTTTTTAAAAATACTAAAGCATCACATTTTTAATTCGTTTTTTACGGAATAAATCACATTATGTGACATATAATGTATTAATAATATTAACACGTTAAAGGTAATTCATATAATAAGTGAATACTACTTTCGTACATTAATAATTTGATTTGGTCCCTCTACACGATTATTTACTTGTTTTATAAATATATTTGATATTAAAAAAGTAGGTAAATTCACCTAAATTAGAGGCGAGTTGCTCCACAATGCACAACCATTAAGAGTTGGTGAACTTGGACCAAGATTTCATTCGGGTCATGATCCCCAATCAATAGAGGAAAACCTGGCTAGGCTAACCGTACCAGCATTCATTCATACATATGTTTGTAGCGACAACCACTCGTAACCTCCTCCATTTCATGCAACCATAAAGAATTGTGCTTGTGCGATCTTGCAGAGCCTTTTTACTTTTTAGCACTGCCCATGGATATGTGATGCTTTTCAAAAATGATATGAAGGAAGTAACTTGAAAATGGAAGATTGGAATAATATCAAGCTTGGGTCCCATATTGACCGTCTCATTACATTGTCCATTTCAACTATAGAAAAATGGTCACAAATCAGACAACTAAAACATGATCACATAAACAGATGAAAACTCCCCCTCAACGGCAACCTCCTTTATTTTTGTGGTTTTGAGAAATTGAAAAAATGTAACTAAGAAGAGAGAGAGAGAAGAGAGAGAGAGAGAGAGAGAGAGATGTAGCAGCAGCTTCCATTTCCTTATCAAACAACTTCCCATCCAATGTTAAGCAAGCAATACCAACTTTTTTTCCTTTTTCTCTCTTTTTCTTTTTCTTTTTCTTCAAGTAGCTCTTTTCTGTGAGAAAACTACTGTTTAGGTTGTTGGCAGATGATTTGTTGGGTACTCTCCTAATCTAACTTCACTTGCTCTGTACGTACACTCTTGAGACAATTCTCATACCATCCAATCTCAGTTTCAACTTAATATAATCATTTTTTTCTTCTTCTTTTTTGTCTGTATTTCTTATTTGATCAGCACCACGCTAGCACATTATGGGAAATTTTAGTTTCTTTTCTGCTCTGCCATGCATTCTGTGATGAGTGTCGTGGATGAATGGAACCGATTCCCATTCTCCATCCAATTATCTGAAAACAGAGAACCACACCAAATTTAAGAACCATTATGCCTTTCAATTTAGTCTCAGCATGGAACAAGCGCCGGAGGTCCAAGTCACATGACCACACAGACCCTTGTATGTTCTTTCTTCTTCTTCTCTTTCTCTGCAACTTTGTTTTGCAGGGTGCTGCTCACCAACTTTTTCACACCTTTCAGGGATTTATAAACCGGTGGAGTATTGGCAACTTGATGATCAAGCCCCACAACCCCCAAAAAGACACCATCATGGTTCATCAATTTTCACACTCAAAGAAATGGAAGAGGCAACATGTTCATTCAGCGAAGAGAATTTGCTCGGAAAAGGAGGATTTGGTCGTGTATACCGAGGAACTTTGCGGTCAGGGGAGGTATATTTCGTTCTATAAATATCTTTGAAACATTATGAAGAATCCAGTTTCCCAGCACATTCTGATGCAGACCCTGTGTTTGGGAATTTGCAGGTTGTAGCAATCAAAAAAATGGAGCTGCCACCTTTTAAAGCAGCCGAGGGGGAACGAGAATTTCGAGTAGAAGTAGATATCTTGAGCAGACTTGATCACCCAAATCTGGTTTCTTTGATAGGCTACTGTGCTGATGGGAAGCAACGGTTTCTAGTGTATGAATATATGCAGAAAGGGAACCTACAAGATCACCTAAATGGTTGGATTTCAACTCAATATGCATCAAGTAATTCCCATGTAAAATAATCAGTTTGCTAATCTTCAAATTAATCTTTAATGGTATAATAATAGGGATTGGGGAAGGAAAAATAGATTGGCCTCAAAGGCTCAAAGTGGCACTTGGAGCGGCAAGGGGCCTAGCATACCTCCATTCCAGTTCTGACGTTGGGATACCTATTGTTCACAGAGATTTCAAATCCACCAACATTCTTTTAAGTGCCAACTTTGAAGCAAAGGTAAGAGTTAAACAAGCTAACTTTCACTGAAATTTTGTCTCCTGCTTTTGAACTCTGAGCAAAACGTATAAATTTATTTATAGCTGAAACTTGAGCACTATTTCGTATAGGTATCGGATTTTGGGCTTGCCAAGATGATGCCAGAGGGCCAGGAAATACATGTGACTGCTAGAGTACTTGGTACATTCGGCTATTTTGATCCCGAGTATACATCGGTACGCATATCTGAACATCAATGGTTTTCATTGTTGTACATTATATATGTCGCACCAGTAAATATGGCTGCATTGAAATTTTCTTTCTTATTTGGATATATAATCTATCAAAACTCATGCATTCTCCAACTTCTCTTTGTTTGGTCCTGTTAAAAACTAAGAAAGTAGGGGAATAAAAACAACACATTAGCAAATGAGTATTTCTAGACATTTCATGTGATGCATGGCATGCTGCTTCCTGTAATCTACACTTTTATCATCTAACTCACCACAACCCTTCTCAAATGAATATCTTCGAGATACTTTGATCTTACTATTAAATACTAAACAATGTCACTCATATAACAAAGAAGTGTATTTGGAAACAGACTGGAAAACTCACTTTACAAAGTGATGTTTATGCATTTGGGGTGGTTCTTCTTGAACTTCTGACTGGACGTCAAGCCGTTGACATTAACCTGGGACCAAACGATCAAAACCTAGTGGTACAGGTAGGACATATCCTTTCTCCTTCCTACTTATTCTACTGGTTAAGTACGTTAGGTCGTTACAAATATGACCCAAGTTCATTTGTTTCAGGTAAGGCACATACTGAATGATCGGAAGATTAGATGGTCCTTCACAGGTCACTTCATCATATGATGAACAAAAACATGAACTGATTTATTTAAATGGTGATAATGAGAAAAGCCTTGAAGGCTTACTTAAAGTGGCTGATTTGTAAATTGGGGGGTTGCTCTATTTTGTGGTATAGTCACGTTACTTGGGCTTTATTATTATTATTCATGCAAGAATATCAGTTGAGAGTTATTACATGGAAACGGAATTCCTCCACACCAGCTTAGTGGCATTTAAGCAAGTAGCAGTTTACTACTATTGGCTTTCGATTGCTTGTGAACTATATAGGCTCAGAATTCAGGCCACCTTCGATTGCGCTTCTATTGGCGGTGAGATGGGTGGAGAACAAAATGGAACCGTTTGAGTTCTGTTAAGCTTATTAATGTGTACTAGCAAAGGTGCTCGCGCGTTTCTGCGAGTTTTAAAGCTTTATATAGACATGGAGATCTAAATAGTGGCATAATGCTTTGTTTAGCAAATTTAAGTTACAAGAAATAGACTTATAATTGTCTTGTTAAAAAATTGACCATATTTTAATAAACCAAGCAGTAATGAAAACATCAAAATAGTAGTAGTTTTGAGTTGCTAATTGTTCAAAAGAGTTTGGCTAGGTCTTACGCTACTCGGTGGTGGAAGGGGATCTATCTCTTGTTGGCTCTGTTGTAGAGGTGGCTTTTGTTTTTCCTTCTCCTCAGTAAGGGTTTTAACTCGGTACAAATTTGCAAAATAGCAGGCGTTAGTGTGTAGATAAGTGGGAAAATTTGAGTGAAAGCAATAACTATTATCACATAATGAAGTTTGAAAATCCAATAGGACAAACAATAGTTTAGATAAATCAGATCTAAGCTTAACTTTGAGATAGAACCCAACCATAAGATTTCCCTATTTATAGGAAAAGTTCCTTCAATTTTTAACTGTTCTTCAGTAACCCTTTTCAGTAGGTAGAAATAACGTAAACAATTGCAGTCTCACCGATGTAGCCATGTTTTAGGCTAAAAGTTCAAGAAAGAATATCACAGAATTTACTGGGTAGCCAAGAAAGAAAAGAACAAAAAGAGTAAGGACAAAATTCAAAATCTATGCTCACAAACACGTGTTGCTAATTGGCATATATTTTTGCCATTATTAATAATAATTGTATAATTTATATTTCACAAAACCATGGGTGAAACCAAGGCAAGGGCTGCCCTTGGCTGTAGCCCAGGAAGGTTTGGGAAAAAAATAAATTAAATACACATATAGCCTAATATTTTAACAATAAATAAATATACAATTTTAACACCAATAGGCATAATCAGGGGTCTTCCACATTTGTATTTGATGTAAAAATTTGTCCCAATATCTATTTTAAAAATTTTCTATTAATTTGTCTCCAAAAGAGAAGAATTTTCCTAAATGAAATTCGCCCTTTTGTGAATAATATGGCTTTAATTTCATTTTTTTTTCTTGTGTTTACAATTAGCATGATTTATATGATTTAATGTATACTTTTATTTCTAGAAAAACTATAGAAAATGTAAGTACAAAAAAAAAACATTATTATTAAATTTTAAGCTAATAACTTTAGCTAGCCCACTCATTGAAAAATTTCTGGTTCCGCCCTTGCACAAAACTAAATAAAGATCTCGAATAATAATATCATTAAATAAGAAAAAACAAATGCAAAGATGGATAGGACGATATTTCACAAAAAAATTCCCTCTATCTTGAAATCCAACACACCAAATTTGAAATTTAGCTAAGGATTCAGGTAGAGCATGTTATGATTTTTCCAATTTGATAAATAACAACCACAGAAAGGAGGATTTTCAAATGCCACAGTATTTGCAAACAAATTAGCAACAGCTACCATGCATGGTCTTTTAAAAAATGAATAGAAAATTAACCTGTAATCAGAGAAGCTATCAAATACTTCCCAAAATAGGTACACAAAAGCAGAACAACACCTATCCAAAATACAAAGGCAGAAAAACAAAATGAAACAACAATTAGGCAAGAAGAACCAAACCACCAAAAATAACTTGGTAACTACAAAATACACACTAAAAAACACTTCAAACACATGGCTTGTAACATCCCGTCCCGAAATTTAATTTAATTTTCAAAATTCTAAAGTGAAGGGATGACTTTAAGCTTAAGGTTATTTGGCGGTTGAGGCTTGACTTTTTGCTCAGGGCTAGTTTTGGAAATTTTCTTGGTTTCTTAGCTTAGTGCTCGGGCTCACGAATTTGTAAACACGTGATGAGCCCAAATCGGAGTTGAAACAAAGACGTTTTGGTCAACGGAAGTATAATAATACAACCATAATTTTTGCGAAGTTAAAATTTAAATACCCAGCTCTCTCTCTCTCTCTCTCTCTCTCTCTCTCTCTCCTCCAGCTGTGATTCTCTCTCTCTCTCGTTTCTCTCTCTCTCTTCGTGCAAACAGACCAGCCGCTTCAGAAGGCGATTTCTCCCAACTTCGGCGACCGTTTCAGGCGAGATCGGTCCCAAAATCTTCGGCTCGACGTCCTCCTTCTACGCTAAGTCATTTTCGCAGCTCGAAAACCCGAAGATTTTGGGCTGGAACGACGTGAAGTTTCGGCTGAAAGTTCCACCGTCGCCATCGCCAGCCACCTCATGCCGCGCCATCACCTGGATCAGGTTCGTCTCCTCACCCTCTTCCTTTCCCCTAGGTTGTGCAACACCATGGTTGGCCGTAGAGGCCAGCCTGAGCTCGAAAAGCTCCGCAAAAATTTCATGAGATGTAGAGAGGGAGAGAGACAGAGAGACAGAAAGACAGAGAAGAAGAAAAGGAAATCATAAGAGATTAGCTAGAAAATAGTATTAGAATGAAGTAAAGGCAACAGCAAACCTGCTGAGTGTTTGAAAATGCATGTCCTCTATTCCGGCAGACATACAATCCTGTCATAGAGCGGAGAAGAGCACGCAGGCCTGTGCCACATGATTATATCTCAGCACCAAGCTTTAAATATACAATATATTTCTAGAAACCAGTGAAACAAATATGTTTCACTTGTTACCTGGTTCACTTATTGCAGGGCAAATGGCCTCTGTCATATGTAACTGAACCTCAAGCCCAAATGGACTGTTCAATTCAGTCCTTTGCACTGTGATCTGGTCATGGTCACAAAGTCAAGAAAGATGCAGTAACACAGAGCCCCTCACCCCAACCCCACAAAAGGAAAATAGAGATAGAAGGAAATAGTGATCTGATCTGATGCACAAAGATTAGCACATTACTTAGAACAAATAAATGAACTTTTTGTCACTGGAGAACTCCCGTGCTTCCTTAAGATTTACAACCTGTTACAGGACATTTGCCCTTGAACTTATCAACTCTTGAGGTGCTTTCTGCATCTTCTAATTATTTGAATGGGAGCATTCCAGATATTTTCAGCCAGCTGACAGAATTAACAGAGATTCGATTCGCGGGCAATTCTCTGTCTGGTATGATTTGATTCCACCCTCCATCTTCAATCTGTCTTCTCTCATAAGATTTTCTCTGCAACCAAATGAAATCCAAGGTACTTTTCCCTCAAACTTATGTATTTTTTCTCCAAGTCTCCAGTATTTTGACATTGCTTCTAACTAGGGCTGGGCATTTGGACCCGAAACCCAGCCAACCAGCCCAAACCAAACTGATGGGTTGGTTTGTTTTTTTTGCAATTTTTTTGGGTCATCGGTTTGAATCCAAATCAAACCAAAATATATGATTCGGTGTACGGTTTGCAATATTCAAAACCACGGTTTAACCAAAGCAGAAACTGTTACTGTTCGATTCTGTGAAACATATAGGATGGTTTTCTTTCCCTTATATAATCAAAGTTGGCACCAATCTGATTGGTTGTATACAATACAGGGGAAGAAGATAAAATCTTCCTAGTCTAAATCTCGTTGACCATGCTATGTCAAAACACAGATATTCATACGTGAACCGCGGGTGAAATCAAGTTTTGAAAACCTCCATGGCCTTATACATCAGTCAGCTTGTCTGGTATTTCTGCAGCTTTCTTCAATCGATTAGCTGCTTTTTCAACCTACAAAAGCATGGTGATTAGTGATAAGTTGATCAAATGCAGTCCATGTTGACTATATATGCCAAGATAAGACAATACTTCAATCAAAATTTAAATTACCTCAGCATCCCAATTTGTTCTGGCGGTGAGAATAATTAGAGTTACTGTTTGTAGAAAAACTCCAATAATCATCCCCCACCAAATACCCTGAAAGAGATAAAAAGAATGCATCATGTTCTATCACTCACAAAGAAATAGCTTTACTGGCACAAGAGTGAGGGAGAGATTGAACTTACTGATACTCCCATGTTGGCTTTGAAGCCAAGAACACATCCGATTGGAAGACCGATAATGTAGTAGCAAGTCAGGTTAACATAGGCCACAATAGCTTGCCATCCACTTCCAATTGCCACCCCTGAAATTCCAGAGAGTTAAATTAGAAATGATGCCTCACAATGCCTGCAGACCTGGTTTGTTCATCTACTCCTTTTGTCACATATCAGTACCTGAAAGTATAGGTTGAATGCCATTCAAGAAAACAGAGATGGCCAGCAATGGGGTTAAATCAGATACTGCTGCGATAACTACGGAATCACTCGTAAAAAGCTTGCTTAATCCAACTTTAAAAATCAATACAATTGCACTGAAGACTATGCTAATAAGTATGCTGGTCCCGTTCACAACAAACACTGAAAATTTGGCCACCTTTGCATTACCAGCACCTAGCTCATTACTGACTCGAACACTGCACAACCGATGTCTCGTTATCAATAAAGTAAATTCTAATTCGTGATTAAGAAATAAACATTCTTAAGAGCATTTTATTTGTCACAAACCTGGCTCCTGCACTTAGGCCTAACATAAATTGCAAGTCCCAGTTCAAGTAGTTCATGCTGGAATTATATCACATCAGAAAATGTAAAGTTAGACTAACAATGTGAGTTAAACAATTGAGCAAATTGACTGATAAAGG